GATGGTCCTGCGTTACGTTTGCCACGACCAGCCGTGCCCGAGTCCGTGATTTGCAGTGCCCAAACCCAGTGAGCCCTGCTGCCGTGGAGTCCTTTAGAGAGGGACAGTGAGAAAGAGGAGACCCTTAGGGGATGGTCTGCAGCAGTGACCTACACACCAGGCCCAAACAAGGACACTTGTCAGGATGGCGCGGAGCGAGGGGTGTTTCTTTCTGTTGTACAAGAGCCGGAGCCGATTCATGACACCCAACAGCACTCAGTACATGGTCTAACGGACATCCTGCTGAACCTGGTTTCACATACCTACTTGGTTATTCCCAGGGGATGAGATGGGGGCGTTGGGTCAACAAATACCACTGTCGTTAAGTCCTCTTAGCACGTTGCCAAATCGTGTGCCAGAACCATGAAGCGAGTGCAGAGTCCCACCACCACTCCCACATCCCACCACCACTCCCACATCCCACCACCGGTGGACGGGGAGTACCAGCGGCCTCCCTCTCACTAGGCACTGCGGGCTTGGCTACCTTAGCTCATTAATATCTCTCAGAACGATAGTGAATGTGAACACTTTTAATATGGATGCAGGAGGGAGGTCACACCATTTGTGGCACGTCCCATTACCTTGTGATCCCATTGTCCTCACAAACGGTGTGATGTCTCCTGGAATATTTGGCCACTCCTGCCTTGGGCTCATTTCCAAATTCGTGAAAAAGAAGCGTCGCTCTGTTCGCAGGGGAGTGACTGAGCCGTCCCCACTGCAGTGGTGTCTCTCGCTTGTCCTTTCCTCTTGAGGATTTTCCATCTTATACAAAGCTCGGCGTGGGAAAGAAAATAAGGAAGTATGTTGTGGTTGGGGAAAAATCTTGTATGTGTTTATAAGCGTGAATGGCAGTTCTTTTCAAATGTCTGCTAAAAACTCTGCCCCTTCCTCCCTCTCCCCCAGGAAGGCCATTGAGGAGCTGCTCAAGGAGGCCAAGCGGGGCAAGACGCGGGCGGAGACCATGGGACCCATGGGCTGGTAAGTCCTTCCGCCCGCTTCCTCCAGGCTGACACAGTGAGAGGCATCCGAACAGGACGGGCGCGCGCCCACCCCTGGCACAAGGGCTGCGGCACAGCACGCACGTGGAGAGCAGGGGAGGCACAGGCCGAGTGCTGCTGCTGCCGCCGCTGCCACTTAGGGCTGCGTGCACCTGTTGCCTCTGGGGAGAAGCGGACGGGGCCAGGGGCCTGGGGCCCGTGTCTCCTACCTTCAACATCCCTTTGGCCACCCAGTGACATGCAGATGCCAGTGAGTTTCAGAGTCGGTGGGAAATGAATATTCTCTTTTAATTCTGCTTTTCCCTGGCCTGTGGGAGTGCTGCTGGGTACACCTTGGCCTACTCATAAGGCAAAGGCACTCTCTCAAAGCCCAAAGTCACTGCCACAGAGTAGGCCCTGACGTAGTGACCCTCAAGGTCAGGGCAGAGCTGCCCCTGCAGTTCTTTACCGGAGCAGAAACCCTTGCCTTCAGTCGGTGGCTTTGAACTGCTGACGTTTTGAGAGAGTGCCTTCATCTTATGAATTCAGCTTTTGATTACTGTAGGGTCTGTTATCCAGTCTCCGCTGTGCTTGTCCTGGTATGTCCCTCCTTTGATTCATTTAAATGTGTGCTGAGTGCCGCGCCCAGAGCCACTGCCACTGAGTCATTTCCGCTCGTGGCACCTCCGAGGGGTCAGAGAAGCGACTGTGCTCCCCTCGGTTTCCAGGGGCGGGCTTTTCCAGGAGTCCCCCAGACCTGTCTTCCATGTCCCCCTGAATGGGTCTGACCCGAAGGTCTTTTTGATTAGCAGACAAGGGCACTCACTGTTTGCACCCAGCACCCAAGAACCCTGACTGCACCCGGTCGCACTGCCACCGAGCTGACCCCGACTCATTGCAGCCCTGCGTAGGGTGTCCAAGGCTGTGAATCTTTACGAAGGTGGACAGCCTCACATTGCCTGTGGAGCAGCTGGTGGGCTCGAACCGAAGACCTTTTGCTTCGCTCTCCAAACCCAAACTCACCGCCATCAGGTCACATCTGACTCACAGGGGCTCTATGGGGCAGGGTAGAGCTGCCCTGGGGGTTTCTAAGACAGGCTCCTTACAAAGGTAGAAGCCTCGTCTTTCTCCCTCAGGGTAGTTAGTGGTTTCGAATTGCTGACCTCTCAATTAGCAGCCTGACGCGTAACCAACCACTACCCCATGAGGGCTCTTTTCTAGGGTAGTTCAAACAGGTAAGCTCTTGACTTCTGATCCTAGGTTGGTGGTTTCGACACACCCCGACCCCGCAAAGTGCCTCAGCAGAAAGGCCAGGCCATCTGCTTCTGTAGAGATCACAGCCTCGAAGACCACGCTGCAGACAGCGCTGCACACCAGGCCATGAGGCAGAGTCCACGCTGCCCCGTCCTGCTGTGCCTTCAGGGCCCACTCTGCTTCGCTGCCAAGGGTGCAGGGCCAGAGTCCAGGGAGCCCCTGAAAGGTCCCAGAAGGGAGCCCTTGCTTGGCAGACGTGCCCTGATGTGCAGTTACTTCCCCAAAGGCAACTGGGCCCACTGCCTTCGGGCCAACCCCGAGGCACAGAGAACCTCCGAGGCTGTGCATCAGTGCAGGAGCAGATGGCCCCGGCTTTCTCCCACAGAGTGGCCGGTGCTACTCTATGGTCAGCAGCCCAGCACTTAGCCACCCGGCACCAGGGCTCCGTGGAGTACTTCTCGGTGCTCTGAATGGCTGGAGGTGTGCAGGTCACATAATGCACATTCTCTGAAAGCCCCGCGGAGCCCCATGGTCAGTTCTGACCCATAGCCACCCACCCAATAGCACAGAGGAGAGGGACCTGCCCTGTGGGTTTCCAACACTGTCAGTCTTTATCAGAACAGATGGCCTCTTCTTTCTTTCATGGAGCGGCAAGTGGGTTTGACCTGCCGACCTTGTGCTTAGCAGTGGAGTGCTTACCCACATGCCGCCAGCTGGGCTCCAGCTGCTCAGTAGCACTTGCTGCTGCCGCCACCACCGCCGTTGCTTCTGGGCTCTGGCAGAGCTGCTTTCTGCTACCGCTTTCCTCCTCGCTCCTCACTCCTGGTGGCGTGTACTCCAGTGTGGTGGCCACTTCTGGGTGTCTCCCCCGCATCTGCTGTCCCCAGTGCCACCACTGATCAGGCGCAGCACGGTCTGTTAGTGAAGCCTTGGCTGCCTCTCTGGGGTTTTCTCTGCCCGAGGAGGCTCAGAGCTGCTGGTTCACGGCAGGGGGGGTTTCTTCCCACCCCCCCATCCCCCTTTTAATTCAAGAGTCAGTGCCATCCATGTCTGGGGGGTTAGCCCTCCGCACGGGCACTGCTCGCCTGTGATGCTTGTGTTCCGTCATGAGGAGCCAGGCTCATGAATGCTGTCGGGCAGTTGGAAGCAGTGTGTGGGAAGCTCTTGGCATCAAAATGTGATCTGGAAGATGGTCCTGCGTTACGTTTGCCACGACCAGCCGTGCCCGAGTCCGTGATTTGCAGTGCCCAAACCCAGTGAGCCCTGCTGCCGTGGAGTCCTTTCCAGCCCACGTGACCCCACAGCACAGGGTGGGTTTCTGAGCCTCCAGTCGCTAAGGGAGCAGGCAGCTTCAGCTTCCGTGGTGCTGCTGGGGGCTTCGAACTCCTGACCTTGTGGTCACTAGCCCCATGTGTCCAGACAGCCCACAGCGAAGGGAAGCAAAATGAAAGACTGACTACACAGGCAAAGTAAAATCGAGACTGGGATGTAAGCACACCGAGGCATGAAGTAAGCCAGCTAGTATGGCCTTCCCGCCTGGCCGAGCACGTCTCACGAAGCCATGGGAATGTAGGTAAGGGGCCTCAGAAATCCTGTTACATTTCATTCCATTTCCAGGCATTTTGCGAAGCCCCCTCGTGCTGCACAGAATCCAGCCAGAGGTGCGGGTGGGGGGCTGCAAAGGCACACCCCACAGCCCTGAACTAGGGGCTCTGAAAGGAGACTGACAGGCACTGGCTCCTGTGGACGGTCTCTAATGCAGACCACGGAGCCCTTGTTCCCAGCACATAGCCGATGTTCTTAACGGTGGAGCAACCCGACCAAGCCTCCTGTCATCCACTCAGTTCCCAGGACAGAGCAGACCTGCTCCTTCCAGTTCCCCAGCCGGTTGGTCTTTGGGGAGCCGAGGGCTGCACCCTCCCTCAGAGCAGTTTGTGGGTTCGAACGGTAGGCACCGCAGTCAGCAGCCCAGGGCTCCGCTCACTCACGGCCGTCCAGCTCGTTCATGCCCTCTCACAGCGACCCCACAGAGCAGAGTGGGCGTCTGAGACGGTCATGCTCTGTGGGCATAGAGCGCCTCCTCTTTTACCCATGGAGCGGCTGGTGGTTTCCAACTGGTGACCTTGCGGTTGGCAGGCAGACACTTAACCCACTATGCCACCAGGTCCCTATCCTAGCTCATGTTGTTGTTAGGTGCTGGTGAGCAGGTTGCGATCCGTAGCCACCCTGGTACAATGGGACGGACCACGGCCCGGTCCTGCACCAGCCTCCCCATTGTTCTGATGTGCGAGCCCATTGCTGCAGCTGCTGTGTCCGTCCGTCTTGTGGAAGGTCCTCCTCTTGTTAGCTGCCCTTCTACTTTACACCACGCACGAGGTCCTACTCCGGGGGCTGCTCTCTCCTGACAGCGCGTCTAAGGGCGGGAGATGAAGGCTCCCATCCTTGCCTTTAAGGAGCATTCCGGCTGCACTTCTTCGGAGGCGGATGATCTCTCTTTGGCACCGCAACTCAAATGCAGCGATTCCCTCTCGGTCCTCCTTATTCAGTGTCCCGCGCTCGTGTGCACGTGGAGTCTTTGAAAGGACCGTAGCGTTATAACTCGTAGCAATCCCGTGTATGGGAAGTTTCGTAGACTCAGATTTGTCCAGGAGCAGACAGTCTCAGCTTTCTCCCCTAACGGAACAGCAGGTGGGTTCAGACTGCTGACCTTGTGATTGGCAGCCAGGCTGTAACCCAACAGGCCACCAGGGCCTGACGCGTCTCCTATGTCTTTTCTTTGGGTCTTTTATCATGAAAAGCAAGGTGCCTGGCATGAAGGTGAAAGAGATTTTAGTCAAAATGGGCATTTGCTAATTAGGAAGAAGCTTAGATGGCACCGTTAATTTTCATTGTAGCTGAACCTGCCCCTGTAAATTGTGCTGGAAAAGTCAGTCCCAGATGGATACGTTCTCCAGGGGTCCAGGCCCGTTTGGCGTTGGCAGTGCCTTGCCCGTGCCCCCTGTACTCCAAGTTTACACTAGGTGGCATGCAAGGAGAGCTGAAAGCAGGCCAGGACAGGCTGCCCTTGGTCCTGGGAGGCCCCTAATCCCATGGGGGGCTGGTGCAGGGGTTCAACTTTGGAGCCAGTGATTGAACTTGGCCCCTGTCTTCTTCTCCCCCAGGATGAAGTGTCCCCTTGCGGGAACCAACAAAAGGTTTCTCCTTAACACCATCAAGAACACACTGCCCCCGCACAAGGAGCCAGACCAGGAGCCCCAGGAGGGCACCGCGGAGCCTGCGGAAAGCCCGCCACCCCCGCACAAGGAGGAAAGCCCCAGGAAGCGCCGGCCCCACCCATACAGGGCCAGTGTCCAGCGCAGCCGCGCCGGCCACTCACCGCCCTCCTCTCGGAAGCGCAGCTCCCACGGGAAGTCCCACCGGCGCTCCAACAGGCGATGAGGCGGGTCCCCAGCACCGGGGACCGGGGCGGTGTGGCTTTCTTGAAGCAGAGGAGGTGGCTGAGGACGATGATTCTTGCAGTCGATCCCTTGTTCTTGTTGTTGTTTATAAAGAGGTTGATGG